CAGAGAGAGAGAGAGAGAGAGAGAGAGAGACAGAGAGAGAGAGACAGAGAGAGAGAGAGAGACAGAGAGAGAGACAGACAGACAGACAGACAGACAGACAGACAGACAGACAGACAGAGGAAGGGCGGGGGCCAAGTTCAGTTCCCTCTTGGGCACCTTTTTTTGTCTACCAAACTCAAATATTAAATAGCCTAGCACCAGTTATGGCCTATGTGCCTTATCAGTAGTTGCGTAAAACGTGAAAGCAATCGAACCGAGTACACACTGGATGTGTCCCGCAATGAAGTTCATCTTGTAACAGAGGAGTGTATTTTCATCTATCAATCTTCCCTGTATACCAGTTTTTTAGACAGGTAAACGCTTTACACAGTGTCTTTGCAGTGTAACAAACCTCAAGGCGGAAATGGGGAGTTGCTGTTTGTACATGTGATTGTCTTATACAGGTGGCCGTTAGAACAGGTTCAACTGTATTTTATTTGTATTGGCTGCTATTTTGTTTTTCCCGGCTATTTGTGCAATTTTTCTTTGTATTCCTACTAATTAGGAAAAACGGTCACATACGTAAAAAATCAGCAGCACTTCAGGTTGTATAAGAACCAGTAGCCGACTACTCATGAGATCTAGCAGAGAAGAGAAAAAAAGAAGTAGTCAGACACACCCTTACACACCTTCTTTGATACCAAACGTACTGACAATGTTTCTCCTTTGGAGCAGATCAAGGAAGTCAAGATCAGAAAGGAGGGAAGTAGTACATACTTGGGCAATCTTCTTCCTCTTTTTTTTACCGACCAGGCAGGGCTGCTAAAATCGTCTGTCAAGACACAAGCAGTCATCATTTGTAAGTGATTAGATCTGCCTGTGATGTTTTTGTAACATTCCAAATATATACAGCGAATAGAATTGTATTGATATTGATGCAAATAACTTCTTGTTTTACCTTTGATTTTTTGTCATACAATATTGTTGGGTTTACTCGAATACACATTTGTACCTCTTTTTTTATGAAACTAATTGATATGTCAATTATGAGCTGAGGATACTACCGTGACTGGTGTAAGTGTACGTTCATAGACAAATTTATCATTTTATCTTCGCTTATCAATTCAGGCGGCTCATTTGTAATAAACATGACTTTTGATGATATTTAAACTCCAGTCGAATTGTGTTTTATAACTTTCCATTGTGTACCGTACTATTTGGGTGTTAATGGATGATGGGGATGAGTGGGTGTGGGGGATGGCATTCTGTCTCTATGCATTTATTTTATGGACAGAGGGAAGAAAATGAAACGATATTAGTTCAGTGACCAATTAAACACACACACACACACACACACACACACTCACACACACAC